TAGTAATACACATATTCATAATATTGATGCCAAAAGATGCAAAGTTGATAATGATAGTGCAACATACTAGTGGCACTGCCGTTTAGGTCATATTGGTGTAAAGCGCACAAAGAAACTCCATGCGGATGGACTTTTAGAATCACTTGATTATGAATCATTTGATGCTTGCGAACCATGCCTCATGGGCAAGATGACTAAGACTCCGTTCTCCCGAACAATGAAGCAAACCACTAACTTATATAAATAATACATACTGATGTATGTGATCTGATGAGTGTTGAGGCTCGTGGCGGGTATCGTTATTTTCTGACCTTCACGGATGATTTAAGCAGATATGGGTATATCTACTTAATGAAACACAAGTTTGAAACATTTGAAATGTTCAAAGAAATTCAGGGTGAAGTTAATAATCATCATAACAAGAAAATAAAGTTTCTACGATCTGATCGTGGAGGCAAATATTTGAGTTACGAGTTTGGCCTTCGTTTAAAACAATGTGGAATAAATTTCACAACTCATGCCACCTGGAACACCACGGAGTAATGGTGTGTCCGAACGTCGTAACCATACTTTATTAGATATGGTGCGATCTATAATGTCTCTTACCGATTTACCACTGTCATTTTGGGGTTATGCATTAGAGACATTTGCATTCACGTTAAATAGGGCACCATCTAAAAATCCGTTGAGACGACACCATATGAACTGTGGTTTAGCAAGAAACCTAAGCTGTCGTTTCTTAAAATTTGGGGTTGTGATGCTTATGTGAAAAAGTTTCAACCTGATAAGCTCAAACCCAAATCGGAGAAGTTCGTCTTCATAGGATACCCAAAAGAAACTGTTGGGTACACCTTCTATCATAGATCCGAAGGTAAGATCTTTGTTGCTAAGAGTGGATCCTTTCTAGAGAAGGAGTTTCTATCGAAAGAAGTGAGTGGGAGGAAAGTAGAACTTGATGAGGTAATTGTAGCTTCTCTCGAATTGGAAAGTAGCTCATCACTGAAATCAGTTCCAGTGATGCCTACACCAATTAGTGAGGAAGTTAATGATGATGATCATGAAACTTCAGATCAAGTTACTACAGAACCTCGTAGGTCAACCAGAGTACGTTTCGCGCCAGAGTGGTACGGTAATCCTGTTCTGGAAGTCATGTTACTAGAGCGTGACGAACCTATGAATTACGAGGAAGCGATGATGAGCCCAGATTCCGCGAAATGGCTTAAGGCCATGAAATCTGAGATGAGATCCATTTATGAGAACAAAGTATGGACTTTGATTGACTTGCTCGATGATCGGTGAGCCATTCAGAATAAATGGATCTTCAAGAGGAAGATGGACGCTGATTGTAGTGTTACTATCTACAAAGCTCGAATTGTCGCAAAATGTTTTCGACAAGTTCAAGGTGTTGACTACGATGAGATTTTCTCACTCGCATCGATGCTTAAAAGTTTGTTCGAGTTATGTTAGCAAATTGCCACATTTTATGAAATCTAGCAAATGAATATCAAAACTACATTCCTTAATGGATTTCTTAAAGAAGAGTTGTATATGATGCAACCAGAAGGTTTTGTCAATCCTAAAAGTGCTAACAAAATGTGCAAGCTCCAGAGATCCATCTATGGACTGGTGCAAGCATCTCAGAGTTGGAATATACGCTTTGATAAGTTGATCAAAGCATATAGTTTTATATAGACTTGTGGTGAAGCCTGTATTTATAAGAAAGTGAGTGGGAGCACTGCAACCTTTCTGATAAGTATATGTGAATGACATATTGTTGATCGGAAATGATGTAGAATTTTCTGGAAAGCATAAAGGAGTGTTTGAAAGGAGTTTTTCAAAGAATGACCTCGGTGAAGCTGCTTACATATTGGGCATCAAGATCTATAGAGATAGATCAAGACACTTGATAAGATTTTTCAATGATTACATACCTTGACAAGTTTTTTGAAGTAGTTCAAAATGGAATAGTCAAAGAAGGAGTTCTTGCCTGTATTGCAAGGTGTAAAGTTGAGTAAGACTCAAAACACGACCACCACAGGAAATAGAAAGAGAATGAAAGTCATTCCCTATGCCTCAGCCATAGGTTCTATAAAGTATGCTATGCTATGTACCAAACCTATTGTGTACCTTGCCATGAGTTTGGCAAGGGGTACGATATTGATCCAGGAGTGGATCACTTGATAGCGGTCAAAATTATCCTTATAAGACTAAGGAGATATTTCTTGGTTATGGAGGTGATAAAGAGTTTGTCGTAAAGAGTTATGCCAATGCAAGCTTTTACACCAATCTGGATGAGACTAAGCTTCTCTCACAAGCAAAACATGATCACACCTTAGTACTTTTTGGGTGTTAATCACATATCGATGTGAACTAGATTATTGATTCTAGTAAAACCCTTTGGGTATTAGTCACATGGCGATGTGAACTAATCACATGGTGATGTGAACTATTGGTGTTGAATCACATGGCGATGTGAACTAGATTATTGACTCTAGTGCAAGTGGGAGACTGGAGGAAATATGCCCTAGAGGCAATAATAAAGTTGTTATTTATATTTCCTTATATCATGATAAATGTTTATTATTCATGCTAGAATTGTATTAACCATAAACTTAGTACATGTGTGAATACATAGACAAAACAGAGTGTCCCTAGTATGCCTCTACTTGACTAGCTCGTTAATCAAAGATGGTTATGTTTCCTGACCATAGACATGTGTTGTCATTTGATGAACGAGATCACATCATTAGAGAATGATGTGATGGACAAGACCCATCCGTTATCTTAGCATAATGATCATTTAGTTTTATTGCTATTGCTTTCATCATGACTTATACATGTTCCTCTAACTATGAGATTATGCAACTCCTGAATACCGGTGGAACACCTTGTGTGCTATCAAACGTCACAATGTAACTGGGTGATTATAAAGATGTTCTACAGATGTCTCCGAAGGTGTTTGTTGGGTTGGCATAGATCGAGATTATGATTTGTCACTTCGTGTATCGGAGAGGTATCTTTGGGCCCTCTCGGTAATGCACATCACTACAAGCCCTGCAAGCAATGTGACTAATGAGTTGGTCACGGAATGATGCATTACGGAACGAGTAAAGAGACTTGCCAGCAACGAGATTGAACTAGGTATGATGATACCGACGATCGAATCTCGGGCAAGTAACATACTGATGACAAAGGGAACAACGTGTGTTGTTATGCGGTTTGATCGATAAAGATCTTCGTAGAATATGTAGGGGCCAATATGAGCATCCAGGTTTCGCTATTGATTATTGACTGGAGATGTGTCTCGGTCATGTCTACATAGTTCTCGAACCCGTAGGGTCCGCACGCTTAACGTTTGATGACGATTTGTATTATGAGTTATGTGCTTTGATGATCGAAGTTTGTTCGGAGTCCCAGATGAGATCACGGACATGACGAGGAGTCTCGAAATGGTCGAGACGTAAAGATCGATATATTGGAAGGCTATATTTGGACATCGGAAAGGTTCTAAGTGGTTCGAGTATTTTTCGGAGTACCAGAGAGCTACGGGAATTCGTCGGGGGAAGTATTGGGCCTTCATGGGCCTTGGTGGAAAGGAGAGAAGGGCCACAAGGGGAGGCCGCGCGCCCCCATGGGCTGGTCCGAATTAGACTAGGGAGGGAGCGACGCCCCCCTCTTTCCTTCTCCCTCTCCTACTCCTTCCCTCTCTCCCCTCTTGGAAAAGGATGGGGACTCCAACTACGATTGGGAATCCTAGTTGGAATCCCCCTATAGGCACGCCCCTCCTAGGCCGGCCTCCTCTCCCCCCTCCTTTATATACGTGGGCAGGGGGGCACCCCAAAGACACAAGTTGATCTTTTAGCCGTGTGCGGTGCCCCCCTCCACAGTTACACACCTCGGTCATATCGTTGTAGTGCTTAGGCGAAGCCCTGCGTCGGTAACTTCATCATCACCGTCACCACGCCGTCGTGCTGATGGAACCCTCCCTCGGCCTCAACTGGATCAAGAGTTCCAGGGACGTCATCAAGCTGAACGTGTGCTGATCGCGGAGGTGCCGTGCGTTCGGTACTTGGATCGGTTGGATCGCGAAGACGTTCGACTATATCAACCGCGTTACTAAACGCTTCGGCTTTCGGTATACGAGATACGAGGGTACGTAGACACACTCTCCCCTCTCGTTGTTATGCATCTTCTAGATAGATCTTGCGTGATCGTAGGTAAATTTTTTGAAATACTGCGTTTCCCGACACAAACTCCATCCATTGGTGTCACAGTCATCAAACCAGTCGACCTTATCACCTAAATAACTCCAAAGAAAAATCCAAAGTACACAGTGTGACGAATCACCTAAATTTCGAACATAGTTTAATCAGATCTTTTGCGAAATAATCAAACATGATCTAGGGAATAAGGCTGAACATTACAACAATCCTAAACATGACCTAAATTACATAGGTTTAGTGCAAGGCATGTGAATCAAACCACATTAATAAATTTCTTCAACTACAATCCTTACACAGCCGACTATCACATAACCTAGACCTAAATCCTTAACCTCTGCACAAATGACATAAAAGAGCGTCTCATAAAAAATTGACCGGCTCTAATTCCTAAATCAGCGGCGATCAAAATTGCTGATCAAACTTTTACTAGATGTGGCCTTGGCCAAATCCCCACCTCGAGTGCACCTAAAACACAAGGGGATCAGATTTACTAACCGTGCCCAGGTGTTTTATCTTCCCATTGACAATGGTGAGCATCAACCGTTTGATGTAGTCTTCAGCTCGCCAAGATCATCACAAGTCACCGGCATTGTTGCCGTCACCGCCATGATGAGAGAGGAGAGGAAAACCAAAGTGTCGGGTGTGATCAATTGAAGACTAAATCATGAGGTCCTTTTCGCAGAAGCATATGTAAACGCCCTCCTTTGTCCATGTCAACGCCAACGTAGCAGATTTTTATCCTGCTTGGATGCATTTGCAATTTTATGGCCTCCTGTTATGGTTTTGCAGGTTCATGTACTAAAGTGTAATTTTTTTGAACTGCTAAATGGTGTTCTTTTTTTTGAACTGCTAAATGGTGCATTTCGCCAAGCCCCCCCTCGAAATTTCAGAGTTCCCGCTGGGCTGCCGATTCGAACCAAACAGGAAACTTCCAGACAAATTCAATTCCCCATCGCCATCTCACATCCCCATTCCCGACGCCGCCGCCTCCGACGACGACTCCGGCGACGGCCGCATTTCCGGGGAGATATACGCATGGACTCTCCGACGCACATCCCCGCCGCCGCCGGATCCGGTGAGGCACCTCTCTCTCTCTCCCTCTGCGCGCGCGCGATTTGATTCAGTTATCCAATGGGGATCTTGGTGGGTGGGGGACCTAGGACCTAGATTTTGCGTCCGCGTGCTTCTCCACCGTTTTTAGCGCAACCAAATTTCCCTCCAGGTTTTACTTGGTCCAAGCTGCTGTTATTGTGCGTCCATCTGTACTGCTTCACGCCATTCAGCGATGAATTCATTGGTAGTAATTCTAGATTTCTGATTTGGCACAGATTCTCCTCCGCTCCCTGAAACTTGTGACAAAGAGAATATCTATCAAGACCGCGGCATTGTCTCCGATTGCCCGATGCTGCACAGGGAGGGGACTGTCTCTACAAAGAGGAAAAAGAAGCCTGGCGGGTTTAACCTCAGGAAGAGCATAGCATGGAACCCTGCTTTCTTCACTGAAGAAGGTTCGGTAGTTTTTTTTGCAGATCTTCATGTCAGACTGGGCTGGAGCTAACGGTTTTGTAAAATTCGCAGGTGTTTTAGATAACATGGAGCTTTCTGTGCTCAGTGGCTCACAAATGAAGGCAAACAGGAGCCCTGGCTCAGGGGTTGGTGGTATCGTTTCCCCATTGTGTAGGTATGGGAGATCCGACAGTTCATCCGTACTGAAGGAAGTCGTGGAGAACTCTCATGGAAAATTGCTTGTGAAGTATCGAAGCGCCGAAAACAAGGGAAGGAAATTGTTTTCTCCTGCAAAAAATTCTGAGCGGCATGAACAGAGAGAACTTCCGGTCAGTTCGCCACTAAGCGCATAGTTCACTTGTGGTAGTGGTGGACACTAATAATCATGCAATAACATTGCTCTTTCTGACCAATTGCAGGGAAAGCAGGATAAGAAGTCAGCACGAAGCATTCAAAATTCAATACCGCGGTCACCAGCAGGATATGCATATCCTTTGTCAAGTTTTAAGATAATTGGACAATCTTAGTTTTTTGTTACCACTTACCATCAGTAGGTTTAACTTATCGCCAATACTGCTGTATGACGTTTTCTTGATACCTATAAATACTGTTAGTCTTAACGTAGTTATACACAGAAGAAGGTGCCCAACTCAAACACTACAGTTCAAATGACAAGAACACCAAAAAAGTCATTTCAACCTTCTATTCCCACGGTCCCTAGAAGTACCTCATCCGCAGCAAATATTTCCAAACCAAGCACAAAGCTACCTCCAGGTATTCTTGTGTATATGTTTTTTTTAAAGAAGCTTAGTCGTGTGAACTCAGCGAATATTTTTACCTAAACCCCAGGCTCCATTTAACTTACATTATTGCATTCTTGTATGTTACTACCAACTGGCTAACTCATCACACTGCTAATTTTCAGTTAAAGCCGAGCACCCAAATAAAATGGAGGCACTCCCGCTTAAATCGAAGATTAAGCCTACACCTTTGACTAAATCCTCTGGATCTACCACAGAGAAAGATGTGGTGAGTGCTTGCACCAGTTACCATTTTAATATGGGAAAATTTCTATGCACGACTGATATTTCAAGCAATGTCAGTTCTATTCCTAAATTTTCGTCACTCCATCAGATTCAAAAAGTCTAAAATGTATGCTACTGTAAGTATTTGAAAATGTGGATGTTTACAGCCTAAAATTTTGAATTGTAAGCACCTCATTCTACATACATATTGCATTTCCTGATTTTAGAATCCATGGCTTTAGATTTACAGATCTTGATTTATCTCAGATATTTACTACCCCCTCTGATCCATATTAATTTTAGTATAAGTACAACTTGAACTAAATCAGAGACAATTAACATGGATCGGAGGGAGTATAAGATTCGTTTAGTCATTTGAGGTGATATTCAGTTGAATATGGCATCTGGCATCCTTTGCAAGAGAAAAATGGCATATAGATTAAAAATTTCAAATATTAATCTTACCCAAGGAGACAAAACTTAGTGCTGACCTGGCTTTTAGAATTTCAAGTGTTACATAATGAAGTTCACATCACCATTTGGAAAATTTGTCTGCAGTCATATTTGCAGTAATGAAGCATACCTATTTTTTTGCAGGCGCCTCTTGTTACAGCCACCCATGAACAAGGGAGTAGTTCTAGAAACTGTTCAAGTTTCTCAACATATTCACAAAATAGTCCCTCCAGTTTTGTTGGTGTACCTGCATCAACTTTTGCTAAGCCATCAGCACTTCGCATGCCTTCACCTTCAGTTGGTTTTTTCTCTCAGGTAGACTGTTACACTCTTCCTTACCTAGTAACATGTGATAGTTTTACATCTACATCTTTTTAAGAATACATATCTTTTTCTTCTGTGATTCAGTTCACTGGTGTTGTTTATAGTTCTCTCCGTTGCATGGTCTTTGAGTCGCTGATTAGTCGCTGTATAGTCGCCGACTAATCGCCAAGTCGTTTTCTAAAAATCAGGGCGATTCGTGACTATACAGCGACTTATGGCGACTATACAGCGACTTGGGTCGACTAATCGCCGAGCCGCTGGGCTGGCGGCGACTTGACTAGTCGCGACTCAAAAACCATGCTCCGTTGTATGCAAATAGTGCGATTATTCTACAGCTGCTTTGAGTAATAAATACTTAAATAAACATGTGATTCTATGTGATGTTCTTATCTGCATACCACCAAGCTTTGCAAAACAGTTCCCTGCAAATGTATGAAAGATAATGGTGCTGATATCCTAATTTTTGTGGAAGGTATTTCCTTTTTTTTCGATAAAGGGTGGATTTTATTGGCTCAAAATGGAGCATCAAGAGGACACAAACACAATGAGCACACACCCGGCCTCTGCATAGTTAGGATGCACACAGCCAACACCGACGCACGCACATAAAAACATGCAGGCAAATAGAAAAGTCATATAAGAGTATAAGACCAAAGCTATGCATAGGTGATGAAAAAAGAAAAGCCCAAAGCGATTGGCAAACTACAACAATGACCATATCCACACCAACCATCTCATGACACCAAAAGGACGACAAGGTTCTTCAACAACAATGACTTCAGAAAAGGAGCGACGCTCAAGCGCTGTCGTCACCGGTTCCAACCACTCAAGGCTAGAATCTAGGTTTTCACCCGAAAGAACCAGTCCGAGCATATCCGAGCAATGCCTTCAACAAGGTAATGGCATAAAAACATTGTCATTGCCTAGGCTTTCACTTGGGAACTCGAGACCGGGTGCTTGAGTATTGTCGCCACCACTTTTCCGCGATCTCAGCAGCTACATGCGATGAGGATCGCCGCCGCTGCACAACCATCCCTCTGCGTCAAGCTGTCGTCCATAGTTTGCTTCTCCCCGCCGAAGTCAACCACCGGATCTAGAGAGAGGAACCCTCATGAAGACCTTTCGGTGGTCACCACAATCCTTAGCTAGTCCGCCGCCGCATGCCGGAGTGGTTGCCATAAGGACCAAAACCGATGAAGGAAAACATAACCGCCAACTAGGCAACTACCACCTCGCCGGAGAGTACCCTGTCTAGGCCCATCTGCCCAGGGGCCGACATGGCCGGATCGGGAGCACCGAAGGCAGATCAACATCGCCCGTGCGGAGCGCAGTCGCCGCTAGATCAGGAGCGCACTGCCGCTAGATCGTCGCCGCGCCTCTCGCCGTCCGGCGGCTGCAGCCCGACCTTTGTCTCAGACCGCTGCCATGGATGAAAGGTGAAGGTATTTCCTTAGCATACATGTAGAATGGTTTAATCATTAGTAGTTATTCTATATGGAGTTTTATATGAAAGTTGCTTGAAACAAGAGATGATCATGCTACAGACGCTACTTATAATTTTTCCATAAAACGAAACTCAAGCAATCGCTTGGTGGTCTTGTTTGTAGAAGAATGACTGAGGCAGGCGGTCTGTGAAATAAAAGTTCTGTCCAACGGGAGTCAAACCCTCGTGGTTGAGTTGGTGCTCACGCACCGCCCGCGAACTGGGTGACGCCCAGTTGTCACTAATAATTTCCGTAGGCAGCACTTAACTACGTAGGGATGCTCAGTACTGATTCTAATGGTGCTGTTTGGTCCAACTGTTAGAATGTGAAAGGCAAGAAACCTATAGTTGTGAATGCTGTTGGAACGAGCCAGCAGTTTAGTTCTGATATATTTCCGTGCCCCAAATGGATCCCATCAACTGAAGGCTGGATGAACATCAATGGGGACAGCTCGTTTGTTGCCACAATGAGAGAAGCCACTGTGTGCTGTTCTCCATGACCACCAAGGGAATGTGATTGAAGCAGCCGGGTGTGTCACGGAGAGATGTCATGATGCCGAGGAAGCTGAAGCTCTGGTGTGCCTGGAGAGAGCTCTACTCGGCACGAGTCGCGCTGTTATGCCCATCACCACTGAAAGCTGCAGCCGAGTTGTCTCGGCTCTGAAGAATGGATGCCAGGACATGTCAAGGCTGGTTGCTATTTATAGTTATATTCGGTGCGAAGTTTCATCTCGTGCCGATTGTAGCTTTGTCCAGATCAGAAGAGGTCAAAACCTTGTAGCCCATGAGATTGCTTCTTATGTGCGTCAGACCAGATTGCTACAGACTGTATTCTCCCTGTTATAGTTTCTGAATAAATACCTCTTTTGCCCTCAAAAATATAAAAATAAACATAATTATATGTCTCTAAGATAGTACACGTTTAGTTTCTCTTCTTTGATTAATTTAGTTTCCAAGTTTTCTTGCCTTTGAACTTCTGAAATCTGTTGGCTTGCCTTTGTCACTTAAATTCTTATTTTTTTGAGATGGCTTTTTTGTGTTTCATTAAAACTTTATTTCTTGAACATCGTCAAAACTTCACTGGTTGACTGTTTTTTTTTTTCCATTTCAGGGAAAGGCTCTTGTGTCACATGATGCTGCTGCTCAAGGAAATACATCATCACTTGTAAAGCCTCCTAGATATAAGCAGCCGGAGTACCTAAAAAGCAGACTCTATCAGGCTTCTGTGCTGAATGGTGATACTGCTCAAGCAAATGGGCAGATCTGCTTTACTAGAAATACTTCATCACTTGTAAAGCCTCCTAAATATAAGCAGTCTGAGGATTTAAAAAGCAGACACAGTCTAACACCGCAGCTGCCAATCAATTGCCCTGCGGCTTCGAAGCCTCTTGTGCATCCTATAACCAATGAGAACACTCTCAACACTTTGGTCTCTTCATTACCTGTTCTAGAGCATGCTAATGTGTGTTCTGGGAAAGATTCCTTGTCAAAAGGTACAATAACATGCTCAGCATGTTCAGGAAATGCAAAAAATCAACCAACGCAGAAGGTTGATTGCTCGTCTGCTGGAAGTGGAGATACTACACCGTCATCGAGTTCAGAAAAAAATGGCGCTTCCAGAAATGGCGCGCTAAATGCATATAGCGTTTCATCACATGTTGAAGAAACAGGCATTATAAACAGAACTGGACCTAATAAGGATCCCCACTCTCTTAGAGCTATTTGCTCCTCAATCACTGAGCATGGCGAGGATTCCTGTTCTCATGAACCCATTGGCTCCTCAATGAACCCTATTGCTGCGATTAGATTGTCATCTTCTTACATTTCTTCTCAAGTGTGCACCCTTAATGATCTCAATTGTCAAAGCAAGTCAGACAGTAGTGCTTGTTTAGCAATTGACTTGAAAAATTCTCTTGCTGGAGAGAAAACGCTCGCAGTTTCTTTGTCAGAAGACAACAGTTGCACTCCAGGTCCTGACTTCTTGCGTGAGTTTGATTCCCAGAATCAACAGAATGCTGAATGTTCCACTCTAAGGAAATCAGTGGAGTCTACAACATCTGCAGATCAGGTGCCACAATTTGGTAATCCACTTGATACAGAACCAGCTTCATCTGACAGCACAACAGATTTGCATGGTTCTTTGTGTAATGAAGCGGAGCCTAATTCAGCAGAAGAACCAAGTACTGATGGTGGAGCGGAGTTTGACTCAGATAGTCCACCAATTGGCAATGAACTTCAGCTGTTAATAGAGTGTGACCATGACCATGATTATAGGAGTACAGAATCCTCCCCTATACAGGTAGCAGCACATATGCCTTGTGCTGATTTTAGTGATTCGAAAGAAGTCTGCAAGACAGAAACACATGATTCATTGGCAGTGGGAAGACGGCCTGCTTTGTTGGACGAACCCAATACTGAAGATGATATGGATCTTGACTCAGATAGTCCACTGGTTGGCAAGGAAGAGGTGATAATAGGGTGTGAGAGTGACCATGATTATAGATGTACAGAATGTTCCCCTATGGAACCAGCAGTACCTGTGCCTTGTATTGATCTTAGCGATTTAGAAGAAGTCACACTTGACTGTAAGACAGAAACACATGATTCTTTGGCAGTGGAAAGACGGTCTGCTTTATTGGAAGAACCAAATGCTGAAGACGATATGGATCTTGACACAAATGAGTTGTCAGCTCTAGAGGATGCATCACCTATAGGGTATGCCTGCACCAAGTATATGAATGCATAAAGTTAACTGGCTTCAATTGCATAGCGCATTGATTGTGTCTTGTTCTTATCTTTTGCAGAAAGAACAAGGCGGCGCACAAATCAGGCGCAAATACCATCCTTAAAGATCATCTAAAACAACTGGTACCATTTTCGGAAGAATGGCTTGCTGCCATGGAGGCTTGTGGGGAGGTCAGTTTACTTGAACACCACTGCATTTCAAACCTGGCATTCATATGAATTTAGTTCAGGTGGTTATCTTAATTCTGTACATGTGATGTTCTATATACAGCTGTAATGTGCCAGATCTCTCCCCACCCTTGAGCGACCAACATAACTCTTTAGTTTTATAGTCCTGCTTCTGTATATTAGTTATGATGAATCCGATGAAGCATCTGCATGCCATATACTCCCTCTGTAAACTAATATAAGAGTGTTTAGATAACTAAATTAGTGATCTAACGCTCTTATATTAGTTTACGGAGGGAGTAACTGGCAGTTACAAGTTTCATCGAATATATCACTATTTTCAGCACGATGTTTTTACCTGATGGGTAAATGAAATACATTTTAACAGGAAGTTCTGGAACAGAAGAGTGGAGCTGTGCAAAATTCTCCTACGGACAAATCTACCCCAGAACCCAGTCCGTGGTCACCGGTACGTAATTGCAAATATGGAACTCATCTTCCCTAAACATGCATCAAGTGTCGCTTTAATATTTCCATACTCCTTAGCTTTAGAGAGTGTACATGCAATGAATCTTTACAGAACTTGCAGTGCTTTGTATAGTTCTTATAAGAAATTCCATTCTTTTCTTTTCTTTTCTTTCTGAGGAGAGAAGCAAATGCACTGGTTAGGATCAGTGGATGCACTTTTCGTTGCATTTCTTGTGACTTTGTTCAAGAGATTTTGCATGTGTCTTTGTAGGTTAAACGCAAAGTTCAAGATGTCGGTCCATTTGACTGTACCAAGTACTCCAAAAGCGTTCGAACATCTGACACGCCTTAACCTGCACTTCACCTTCTCTTGAGGTACCATCAGGGAGCAGACACGCTGTACAAAGTCACGCAGAGCTCAGCTTCGAGTGTTGTCACTCCTGTGATCTACCACTGGATCTTATTTTGTCCAATCCAACAGCCTCGTTGAAGTGCTTTTGTTGTCCAATCCAACAATCTTATTTTGATTAAATTGTACGTATAATCAACACTGTTGACATCACACGCCACAAGCAATGCTTGTGTGGTAAATAAAGAGATAACTTCTTCTGTTTCTTCGGAATCCTCAATAAGCTACTAATTGGTGTTTGGACATTATGTCTGGCAAGGTAAAATTTCTTATGTCTGAAATCTAATAGAGCAAGCAACATTATGAGATGGAAGATTCCTTCATATAGGGTAAAATTTCCTTACTGCCATTATGCAATGATGGTTGATGATATATGATAAAACAGATAAAACAACAGCATTATGTACTGGCATCTAATAGAGCGAGCAACATCATGAGATGAAGATTCATTCATACAGGGTAAAATTTCCATACTGCCATTATGCATTGATAGTTGATGATATGAGGCAACAACAGCATTATGCACCGGCATCTCTTTGCGAGTTTGTAATTGTCAAAACTTTTGCGGGAGGAGTGAGGGATCTCTACTCTAGCTGGTCGTCGTCGTTGTCCTCGTCGCCGCCGCCGACGAGGGGCCCGATCCGCCACTCGCTGCCATAGTAGGAGTTGGGCAGGCCGAGCCAGAACTTGAATGCCTCCGCCGCGCGCTTGCGCTCCCTCCGGCGTTCCTGCCTGGCCTGCGACGCGTGCTTGCTGGTGAACATCCTCGAGTGCATCTCGATGTAGATCTTCTTGTACTTGGTCTTGTTGGGCGCGATGCCGTTCTCCTCCATGCACGCCACGATCTCCAGCGCCTTCTTGAAGAAGGCGCCGCGCACGCACACGTCCGCCAGCGCGTCCAGGAGCTCCTCGTCCGGCTTCAGCGCCGGCTTGCCGCTGCCGCTGCCGGCCTCGCACCGCTCCTTCACCTCGTTCCACAGCAGCAGCGCCTCCCCGGGCTTTCGGGCGACGGCGATCCCCTTGGCCAGGCTGCCGTACGTCGCCACGTCCGGCTGCACGCCGCTCTCCTTCATCCTCTCCACCGTCTGCTTCGCCGTCTCCAGCATCCCTTGCTGGCAGTACCCTTCCACCAGCATGTTCCACGCCGGCCTGTCCACCGTCACCCTCGGGTCCTTCTCCATCTCCTCGAACACCTTGTGCGCCACCTTGGGCTGCCCCGACGCCGCGAACGCCTTCATCAGCGTCGTGTAGCTCACCGTCGACGGCGCCACCCCGCGCGTCCGCATCTCGTTGAACAGGGCCAGCGCGCCGGCGCTGTCGTCCATCAGGACGCACCCGTCGATGAGGGTGTTGTACGTCACCACGTCGGCCTCGATGCCGGCCTCCGTCGTCATCTCCTCCAAGAGCTCCCTTGCCCTGCTCATCTGTAGCTGCTGGCAGTACCCCTTGATGAGCACGTTGTACGTCACCCGGCTCGCCGGGACCCCTGCTCTCGCCATCTCGTCGAGCACGGCGTGCGCGCGCTCCATGTCGCCGGCAGCCGCGAGGGTCGAGACCACCGTCGTGTACGTGACGTGGTCTGGCCGGCTCGCCGGCATCGTCTCCCCCTCCCGCCGCATGGCGCGCGCCATGGTCACCACGTCGTCCACGCGCCCGGCGTTCATGTACCCCTTCATCAGCGTGGTGTACACCCTCGAGTTGGGTGGGTACGTTTTCGACAGCAACGGCGCATCGGTGCCTTCCTCCGGCTTTGGTCCGACGATGTCCTCGAGCACGTCGCTGTGCTCGTCGACGACGATAGCAATGCCCTTCTCGTCGTTTCCTTCCACTGCGACATGCCTCAGCAGGAGGCAGACGTCGCTGCGGCCGTCCCGCATGGCCTGCACTATCCTCTCCGCCGTGGGGATGTCGCCGAAGCCGACGTAGGCGGCGACGAGGGAGTGGAAGGTGGTGGCGCAGGGGGCGAGGCCGGAGGAGAGTATCCGCTCGAGCACGCGCGCGACGAGGTCCCGGCGTCCGGCGCGCGCGCACATCTTGATGGCGACGTTGTAGGTGAGGGCGTCAGGGGCCGCGCCAGGCCAGCTGCGCATCTCGTCGAACAGCTGGCGGAAGCGGCGGCAGTCGCCGGCGTCGGCGCAGGCGCTGAGCGCGGCGTTGAACGCGGCCGTGTCGGGGAGCGCGAAGGACGCCGAGCTGGAGTCCGGAGCGCGGCGGAGGTGGTGGAGAACGGCGTCGAAGAGGCGGAGCGCGTGGGCGGGGCGGAGACGGGAGATGGCGGCTGTGTAGGCGCGGCGGTCGGGGAGAAGGCCACGGCGGAGCATGGAGAGGAGGAGGGAGTAGGCGAGGCGGGCGCTGCCGGAGCGGGCCGCGGCGGAGGCGGCGAGGGAGAGGGAGTTGGCGTCGAGGAGGTTGAGGCCGCCCTGGGCGCGGAGGCGGTGCAGCAGGCCCGCGGCGCGGGAGAAGGTGTGGGAGGATGTGGACCTGTAGGAGAGCTGCGCGAGGAGGCGGGAGGCCGCGGTGGGGGACTCGGGGAGGGAGGGGGAGGCGGCGAAGAGGCGGTAGGCGGCGTCCGTTTCTCCGGCGCGGAGGAGAGCAAGGAGGGCGTCATCGTCTTCGTGGGTAGTAGAGAGCGGTGGGGCGGGAGAAATGGCCGAGTGGAGGGTGTGGTGGTTGCGCCAGGAAGTGGAGGAGGTGGCGGTGGCCGGCGAGAATGGCGGTGGCGCGGGGAAAGGGGCAGTCGGAGGGCGGGGCTGGGGCTGGAGGCGGGGCTTGCCGTGCCCGTGCAGCATGATGGATGCGCCGCTCTGCTCTGCACAGGGGTGGGGAGGAGAAGAGGAGAGGGAGGGGATGACGCTGACGTGTTAAACTGTGAGTGTCTCAGACTCGAATGCAAAATCCTTTCTTCTTTTGTTTCTGCATGTGGAGCCTCTCCCAAATCGTGGACGAACCTGTACCAAGCTAGCTAACTTGGCCTAGTATCATTCACAGCCCAATGACTCACTACGAGCATTTATAGGCTCTTGACGAATCCGGCTCCTCAAACATCAAGGGACGCGACCAGGCGTGTCCAATCATACCTTATATTTGATGCTATGCATTCAAGTACATCATATTTCATTTTCTACATCCATAAAAATCATATAAAAAAATCCTTCATATTTTGGACATCACGTTAGCCTAACTCCGCTTCGTCGTCGGAGATGTCCATGGCGTCGGTGCCGGGCGTCGGGTAGATGCTAGAGCATATCTCTCTAATGGTTTTGATGATTGATGACAATATTATTTGCGGACTAACCATGTGCATTGAGCATTTCAGATACTCTCACATATGTATGAGAACCCGGAATTAACTTTCAGACCCTCCTGTGTATATTTGTTCACTCTGTGCGCTCGGTTTATTCGGTTTATATGGTTCGGTTTATACGGTTTTTTGGTTTGTATGGTATTAATACTTTGATAAATACGGTATGAAATTAAAATACGGTTCGGTTTCGGTATATACCAAATTGTTTCGGCATGGTTTCGGTATATACCATAATAACCAAAGTTGACGCGAATTTGAAAATGATGTAAATAATTTACAAATTTATGACTCAAAACACATATTGTTTTACACAAATAGTACATAACTATATATATAAGTATATACGCATGCATTAATTCATCTGTTGATGGTTATCGACGTGCTTAGCATTTTAAAAAGAGAAAAATGACTATGTTACAAGAAAAAATTACGTGCTTAGTAGTGAATTTGACTCATGTATAAGAAAATGACAACTTGTATGGTTGTTCATCAGAAGAAATATAAAATTATTGTTTACTTCGGTTTATTCGGTTAACTGTTCGGTTTTTCGGTATATACCATAAAAACCATAGTTCAAATCGGTATGAAAAGTTCATACCATACCGAAACCAGAAACCATAAAAACTGTAAATTTGGTTCGGTTCAATTTATTTTCGGTATGGTTTTTCGGTTCGGTTTTCAAATGCACAGAGTGAATATTTGTCAACCCCATGATCATTGTTGACAACACAGCGAAATGGTATCATTGCACAACGCACAAATGTATTACAAGTTTAATAAATCTTGCCACAAGGCATGTGAGTATAGAACCACTAGAGGTCTAAATGAATAACACAAGCATCACACATACGAGTGATCATGATAAGATACTAAACTAGAATATGCTCTTAATAATAAAGAACAACTACTTAATAGCCAAATAGCCAGTAGCAATAATATTACCGACACATGCTTAAACAAGAGATCAAACTATGCACACTAGGCATATGAGAAAGATACAACTCAACTAACATGAAAGGTAACTATCATATGCATGACTATTGCAACAACTATAGAGCACTCATAATACTAACGTATGACAAGTTAAGCATGTATAAGCAACACTAGAATAACTATAAACATGGAGTATAATAAGGCATGAAAGGTTATTAGCATGACATGTCTCGGCTTAAGCATACCACAACTGCAACAACTAGATAAAGTAAATATGACAAGTAGACATGTATGGTCATCACAAGAGATACGAGAGTATGCTACCAATACAATACTACTCATAACTATGACATAATTTAGTTGATATCAACCAACATGACTATCAAGCATGGCAATAGCACACAAGCCTACATACTAGTTATGACATGTAATCACATTGACTACGCATACAAACATGTAACCAAGTAATAATATATCATGGAATGAACAACATTAAGCAATGCACCATAGTAGCATGAATAGCAGGAACAAGATCATGGCATGCATTTCCTATCTATTACAACTTACACTTGTAAAGAAATAACATAACAACCTGGAATGATCTATAACATGAGTTTTTTTGACTATAAGATCTATAACATGAGTTGATACACCGACACACACTATGCACTCTAGTCATACAATCATAACAACATGGCATAGTATT